CTCTTCTCCAGCGTCATTCTGTGTCTCTCCTCCCTAACTGCCCCCCCCGCTGCCCCACTACCTTGGACGGACAGCCGGTGTCTGTCATTACCAACTACTGCTAACCCCCCTCCTTACCTTTACCTCCAGCAGCTGTGCTCCACTTCTGCTGGGTTAATAAAATCTTGCTTGGAGACCAGGCCTCCCCGGCCGCCTGGGCCCCTCACACAAGTATCGGCCGTACCCCCCTGATGGCGTTCCTGGCCGGGGGATTCAGATCGCGACCATCCCGGTTCACTTGCGGGACCCCATATGGGGTCGTGACCCAAACTTTAAGAGGCTCTGCTTTAGAAAATGTGCAAAATCCACCTAATACAAATGCACATTCTACTTGTATATAGAAATGAGCATAACAGGATTTGTGTTTGTTTAATGCTTGCTTCTCTCATGTAGTGTCACCTATAGCTCCCAGGTGGCCAGTGCTGCCTCCATGATTATTTAACTTCCAGTGGGAGATTGTGTTAGTAGCTTGGCAAATAGACCAACTATGCCAGGGAGATAGAGCAACCAGGGCAGGGCTTGTGTCAACTTAACCTATGAAATAGTCAATTAAGATCCCACCTCCAGGCTCTTGGAGCAGACACTACAGGTTGGAACACAGGCCCCTGTGGTTTTCCAAAGAGGGTTGCATATGCATGGTGTCTGACCTGGAACACCTAGTGAGGAACTCACAGTGTAGGATCTGTCTGCACTTAAGGCTCCTACCTGCAAGCAAGGGTCAAGAGATGAGTAGTCTGGCTGGGTCAAATGGGCTACAATATAGCATTTGCAAAAAGAATGTTTATCTATCCATGATTACTATGAGTTTGTTACATGCACTGTGAGCTTTTTGGACATTAAAAGAGAACTATGGGGTAAGTGTTTTTCTTTAGGGTCATGGGAGGACATGTACTAACCTCCTCCTGTGACCCAAAGCTCAGTATATTGTGTCAATACTGTCTGGATCCACCCAGCTGCATGAGTGACAGCTGGCTCTGCCTATTTAAAGTCAGAGTCAGCTGTGACCGCCCCATTCTTTCGACCACTCAGCGCTGGAGGATCGGAGTGGGGAGGGGGGAAACCCTGCGGTGAGCGGTGACTGTCAGTCACCGCTCTCTGCAGGGAGATGATCGGGAATTGAGCGGATCGGTGCATGTTTCTGCTCACTTCCCCATCAATAGAGCCGACCCGTGACAGCTTCTTTGTCACAGGTCGGATCTAGCTATGAGGATGAGAGGAAATCACTCACCTCATAGATCTCCTTTAAGAAACTCATTTGCCACTGAAAATCTTTCAGTGCTCCTGTTAAGTCTGCTATTTAATGCATTTAATATTTCAAAAACTACACCAATTCAAAATCAATTTGTATTTTTTTACATTACTTTTAGGGGCTTCGGGGAAATATTAGGGGTCTAAACAGACCCCTGATATTTTCCTTTTAAAGTAGAAAAAGAGATTTAGGACACAGAGTCCTCAGAGACACACAGAGTCCTCAATCTCTTTTTCTGCAGCCCCTGTTATCAATGAACAGGAATGCTCTATACTGAGTGTTCCTGTTCATTCATAACATGAGGACAGAGAATATTTACTAGAACTCCTCTCCTTTAAGAAACTCATTTGCCACTGAAAATCTTTCAGTGCTCCTGTTAAGTCTGCTATTTAATGCATTTAATATTTCAAAAACTACACCAATTCAAAATCAATTTGTATTTTTTTACATTACTTTTAGGGGCTTCGGGGAAATATTAGGGGTCTAAACAGACCCCTGATATTTTCCTTTTAAAGTAGAAAAAGAGATTTAGGACACAGAGTCCTCAGAGACACACAGAGTCCTCAATCTCTTTTTCTGCAGCCCCTGTTATCAATGAACAGGAATGCTCTATACTGAGTGTTCCTGTTCATTCATAACATGAGGACAGAGTATATTTACTATAACTACAACTATGAGTGAACAGGAAGTGATGTAGATGTGATGTAGATCACTTCCCATTCATTCATAATTGAGGATATAGTACACATACCATGTCCTCAATTATTTAAAAAACACTCAGCGATCACTGCTCACTCACTGCTTGTACCCGCTCTCCTTCCTGACACGCTGTCACAGGAGGTGGGGCGGTGCTGGAGGAGAGCTCAGCCTCCTGTGACAGCGCGGGCTGTCTCCGCCCACACACCGCTCTGCCGCACTGTGATAGGCGGCTGAGCGGTGTGGGAGGAGAGACACCGGCCACTCGCAGCACTCTCCTCCGGCAGCCCTTGACCGGCTGTCACTTTCTCTCCTCCCCACTGGGACACAGAGCAGCGCCCAGCGGGGAGGAAAGAAAGCAGGGATGCGCCGATGTATCGGCAGGAAAATGGCACTTTCGGCATCATGCCAAAAGTATATCGGTGCATCCCTAATAATTATAAATAAAGGAGGAATAAGGACTTTTAAACTGAATGTATACTTGATCCACAACTTGTACACCTATATAGGGATACATCTGGCATAATGGGATTTGCTTTTGTAAATCACAATATGTTGGATTTTTCAGTGCTGATTTTTAAACGCAAAAGAAGGAATCGGGAAGAATGGAGCAAAAAAAAGTGAGAAAAGTAAGACGTTGAAAAAGGAAGTAATAAAGATAGGAAGAAAGATGTAAAAGAAAGTATGGAAGGTATAAAGGAAGGTGTGGAAGGAAATGAAGGAGACAAAAAGGGTGGGGTAGGTAGGGAGGAAAGTGAGGAAGGTAGTGAGGAAAATGTGGTAGGAAGTGAGGACGATAGGACGATAGGTGTGGCTGGAAGGTGTGGAAGAAAGTGAGCCTGGAAGGTAGGGAGGAAGGTGTAGAAGAAAGTTTAATAACATATTAAAAGAATTGAGAATAAATATTTCTTTTCTATATACAGGAAAACAAATTGGGGACTCGGAGAAAAGCAAACCAAAAGGAAATTGTACGTTGTCACAATGACATCAGGCGTCAAGTCAATCCGTCAGCCAGCGACATGATACAAGTGGTATGAGAATTCATCACAATGGCGAATATATTTAATTCTTCCATATTTTTATTTTTGTATAAAAAAATGAACAAAACATCAAAGAAAAGCTAGAAATTATCATTGATAATATCCATGGAGACCTGATGTTCTAGGCTCCTATTCCAACAAGGAGGCTCTCTGTAAAAAGTACTGTTTAGTCACTCTTGTGATCCACCCACCTATGTCATACTGCACTGCCGTGGCGTAACAATCGCCATAGCGACCCAGGCGGCTGCTATGGGGCCCAAAGCACAGCGGGGCCCGGCCAGGACATCCCCCTGATGTTGTGCGGGCCGCCTGGGTCTCTATGGTATCGCAGACTTCTGGCTGTCACTGGCGGGTGTGAGGAGGAATGTGTCGCTGTTAGATCACCGACAACCTATCAGTGATCTGTGCAGCGGCACGTTCCTCTTCACAGCCGCTGCAGAGTCAGTGACAGCCAGCAGCTGTGGAGGAGGAAGGCTGGGCCCAGCATCAGAAGCGGAGGAGGAGGCGGGCCTGATGATGGAAGGGGAGGCGGGGCCCGGTGATGGAAGAGGAGGTGGGGCCTGGTGACAGAGGAGGCGGGGCCTGCCAGCGACCATGGAGGCGGATCGGGCCCGACAGGTAAGAGGTGTGCAGCCCACCTGAGACCCTGTAGAGCCCACTATAGAGAGTCTATGGTGGGCTTTGCAGGGTCACTCTCAGGTGGGCTGTGTGGGATATCAAGTGGGCTCTGCAAGGGGTATAACTAGAAATCACGAGGCACCATACAAAATGTTGCTATGGGGCCTGTGATTTCTATTTACCCCCTGCTGCACTACCAGGAATGTGAAACCATTTTAACTAGTTCGGCTTTGCAGCTATCTCATTGACCTCGCTTCTCATTGGAAAGTGGTGAGGATGCAATTTATTTGGTCAATGAAAAGGTTGAAAGGAGGGAGGTGACACAGAAAGCTACAAAACTGAATGAGGGATACTAGCTGCCTGGCCTGTGATGTGTGTCGAGGTGTGTGTACAGGACTGGATTTACCCTGCCTGCCGCCCCAAGGCCAGTACCCGTAATGCACTTTTAATTTAATTATTATTACTTATTCATTTTTTACTTATTTTTTTATGTAATTATTTTTTCATCAATTTTTTTTCACTTAACTTTATTGCATATTACACAGGAACTAACAATCCCCTGTGTGTTTTTCACACTCCCCTGTGTGATAGCAATTGGAGGTGACAGGTTCTCTTTATTAACCCTGTCACCTCCAATACAGGAGTTCTAGCACAGGGCAGCGCTGGAACTCCTGTGACAAGTGAGAGAGGAAGAGTGCAGCTTTCCCATCTCACTGTATACACGGAGGGTTACTTTTAACCCGGCTGCTCTGCTCACCGCTCTCCATCCTGAAGACGTTGGCGGCCAGCGAGGAGAGGACGGAGCCGGGAGCATGCAACATGGAGAGAGGTAGGTCCTAAATTACCGCCCGGCGCCCGGAACTACATGTTCAGGGCGTCGGGTGACTTCAAACGTGTACCGCCCCTCTCCTCCGTGCCGCCACACGAGGCCGAGCCTCGTGGCCTTGCCGGGAATCTGGCCCTGTGTGTGTACCACAAGACTAACTAAACAAAAAACTTAAATCCTTTGACCAGTAAGACAGCATGTGTATTGTTTGTGCATTTGTAAAGGGGGCAGGCTCCATTGGCAGTGGAAAACCATGCATGAGACCGGGACACCCAGGAATTTTGCCTGCACTTTTAATCAGCACGGCAGCAAACAAACACTGTTGCAATGCAGGCACACATTCTACAGCAGGCGCATAGCCTAAAACAAACAAAACATCTCCTCGTCTAACTCACTAACTACATGCAGGTCAGGTCCTGACTAACAAACAGGGTGCCCCTAATGGGTTCTCCAAAACATACAGACAGTATTTGTACTTTAGTTTTCTGTCATCAATCAGCCTTTTCACACAGCAGCAGCAGACATCCCAACTCTCCCAGGGCGCTCCGGGAGTCTCCCGCTATTAGATAGCGGCTCCCGGCCGCCCGGGAGAGAAACACTTCCTCCCAGAAAGGTTTAATCTGCTCGATCGAGCAGATTAAACCTTTCCCTGCGATCATTTTTTTTTCTTTTCTGACATCGGGAGCCGCTGCCCGACTGTCATTCAGAAAAGAAAAAAATAAGGCATAAGAATCCATAGCTAGATTCCTATTGGCTATTCCACTTTGCAATAGCCAATAGCAAACTAGCTAATGCACCCGCCCACTGCTGCTGTCAATCAGCAGAGGGGGACCTGAATTTTTCTATCAGCTCCTCTTCTGGTGATTGGCAGCAGCAGAGGGCGGGTGCAATAGCTAGTTTTATTCACCCGGACAGTTCGGGTTTTGAATGCTGTGTCCGGGTTTCATGGCAGCAGAAACCCGGACACAAGGTGTTAGGCAGACAGGGGCAAACAAGATTAAGATAGTGGCTACTGGCTCCCCACTGAAAATAGTCTCAACTGTGATATTTACATATGAATGGGCGGTGCTATTTACATATGAATACGCCGCGGCTTATTCTCCCTAAAAAATGGCCGTGCGTCGCTAGAGGGACTCCTCCCTGAAATTGCTTCTTTCAGGTTGGGATTCCTGCAGCAGGCTCTTACAACAGAGCCCAGAGCATCTGTTCACATAGGTAAAGGCCTGTGGTCAGCTGAGGTCTGGCCACCAGGTAAGATGTGGAGCTAGAAATGGAGGCTTTCTCCCACCGTGTCATTATTTATTTTACAAAGACAAAATGGAGAAGCGATGCTAAATCTCTCCAATGGGAACGCAGTGCAACCAAGCACCTTTTTTTGCAGTAAAATCAAGAAGGGTTAGAAGCCCGGGAGGTTTATTATTTCTGTCCTTGTCTTGCTGCCGCAGTGACAGGCGCTCCCCTCATTGCGCCAGCAATTGCTCCCTACAGTTCTCACGGACAGCTAATCTAAAGTTTTTACTCTTCCCAAGCCTGCCCAAAGCCAAACAGAATGATCTTCCTGGAGCCGAGCTCTAAAAATCAGAAACATTTTATAACTGGTATTGCGTTCGCTGATCGTTTGCTGAAACTCATACGGTTTTTATTGTGTTTAGAAATGGAATAATGACGCTGCCCGAAATGCTGAAGCTGTTGCAAAGATGTGCAGTAATAAGCACAGCGATCCATCGAAACGGGTAATACAAAGTCAGTATTGAACACCAGCACTAAGTCTGATCTACATAGAACAAAGCATATTTGAACATAAAAATATAATATAATAATATAATAAAATATAATGATATAATAATAATAATTTTTATATGTATGTATGTATGTATATATATATACACTATATTGCCAAAAGTATTGGGACGCCTTTACACGCACATGAACTTTAATAGCATCCCAGTCTTAGTCCATAGGGTTCAGTATTGGGTTGGCTCCGCCCTTTGCCACTATAACAGCTTCAACTCTTCTGGGAAGGCGTCCACAAGGTTTAGGAATGTGTCTATGGGAATGTTGGACCATTTGTGAGGTCAGGTACTGATGTTGGAGGAGAAGGCCGGGCTCTCAGTCTCCGCTCTGATTCATCCCAAAGATGTTCTATCGGGTTGAGGTCAGGACTCTGTGCAGACCAGTCAGGTTCTTCCACCCCAAACTCCCCCATCCGTGTCTTTATGGACCTTGCTTTTTGCACTGGTGTGCAGTCATGTTGGAACAAGAAGGGGCCGTCCCCAAACTGTTCCCACAAAGTTGGGAGCATGAAATTGTCCAAAATGTCTTGGTATGCTGATGCCTTAAGAGTTCCCTTCAATGGAACTAAGGGGCCAAGCCCAACCCCTGAAAAACACCCCCACACCATAATCCCCCCTCCACCAAACTTTACACTTGGTACAATGCAGTCAGGCAAGTACCGTTCTCCTGGCAACTGCCAAACCCAGACACGTCCATCGGATTGCCAGACAGAGAAGCGTGATTGGTCACTCCAGAGAGCACGTCTCCACTTCTCTAAAGTCCAGTGGCCATTTATACACCTGTGGCCATGGAGGTGAATGGAACACGTGAATCCAATGATTTGAAGGGGTGTCCCACTTTTGGCAATATAGTGTTTATGTATCTCTCTCTCTCTCTCTCTCTCTCTCGCTATATATACCGGTGAAACTCGAATAATTAGAATATCGTGCAAAAGTAATTGCAGTAAGTGCTGCAAAAGGGGCCCAAACCAAGTACTGAGTACATATGCATGCTTGTACTTTTCAGAGGTCCGATATTGTTCTATGTGCAATCCTTGTTTTATTGATTGCATGTAATAATCTACTTTTTTGAGGTTGTGGATTTGGGGTTCTTGGGGTTTTCATGAGCTGTAAGCCATAATCTTCACAATGATGACAAATCACGGCTTGAATTATCTTGCTTTGCATGTAATGAGTCTATCTCATATATTAGTTTCACCTTTTAAGTTGCATTAGTGAAATAAATGAACTTTGCACGATATTCTAATTATTCGAGTTTCACCTGTATATATATATTGCAGCTTACTTAGATGTGGTGGCTGCAATTGTTTTCTATTTGCTTCCAGGCTTAGTACATTATCTGCAAGTACAGAAAAATACCTTGAAAGAGGGACAACTCCAAACAGCAGGAGCAACAAAATTGAGAACACAAAGTCCCGGGAGAGATCTGACTGAGTGTAGTATTATATAGTACAAAGCTGTAGATACATTTTAAATAAATGTAGAAGGGATAGTGTGATACTCACATATAGGGATGCACTGATACTGATACTAGTATCGATATCGGTGCCGATACCGGGTATTTGGGCGAGTACTCGTACTCGCTCAAATGCTCCGATGCCTAGCATGAGTACTTCCTGTATCCGGAAGCCGGGCAGCGCATCATTACACGCTGCCAGGTTTCCTGATTGGCCGGGAAGCGGCTCCATGCTCTCTCGCCAATCAGGGAGCCAGGCAGCGTGTAATGACGCCCTGCCCGGTTTCCTGATTGGTCGGGAAGCTGGCCAGCTGGCTGATTGGCTGGGAAGCTGGCTTCATGCTTCCTCCTCATCTCATGACGAGGGAGCATGGAGCCTGCCTCCTGGCCAATCAGAAAGCAGGGAGTCGCATCATTACACGGCGCCCGGCTGCCTGATTGGCCGGCCAGACTGCTCCGGCTGGGTACCGGAGGAAGGCCACGTTCTGGCTGGAGAGACCCCGGTGGTGACAGGCTGGACATACCAAGGTAAGAGGGGGACAGACTTTCTTGTTGATCGGGAAGCCAGGTGGCGAGTCTTTACACGCTGCCCGGCTTCCCGGCTAATCAGAAAGCCAGGTGGCGAGTCATTACACGCCACCTGGCTTCCTGAATGGGACTTCTGTTACTCGGTAATTGGTATCGGCGAGTCCCGAAAAAACATTATCGGTACTCGTACTCGGTACCAAAATACTGGTATCGGTGCATCCCTACTCACATAGATAGGTTGCGTGAAATCCCCTTTGGGGATATCGGGCAACCTAAGGTGCAAAAAGGCGTGCAGGGAATATTTCTGTCCCCATGCAGGATGGTCGCTCTCAGTGCTCTTCAGGGAGGAGCTCGGCAGCTAGAGGGACCCGATGTGTACTGGAGAGATGAGACAAGAATGCCCCCAAAAAATGTAGGTGCGAAACAGCAGAGGCACCCAGGTGGAGGAGATGAAATTGTGTTTCTTCAAATTAGACTTTTATTCCATGAAACACAACATAAATATCACAGTCTCAACGTGTTTCGTGGCTCTAAGATGGCCACTTCTTCGGCAGTGTGGTAGCGTCTACGCACGACGGGAGATTTCAAATACTGATAATGCTTACAATGGATGCTGCTTCTTGATGTTTAGTTTTAGTTTCCTGCAGAATCAGTTGACTTCCTGAGCACTGACCCTGACATCCTGTTTTAGGGTGACCCCTTTCCCTTGCAGAGTTCTGTGGGGGCCACATAGTAAGCTATTGTATGTGTAGAAAACAAGATGTCACTAGCATACCAAGGAATCGTGTCCAAACCAAATGTCCATTTATTGACGTATCTTGTATATTGACGTATTGAGGTATATTGCCACAAGAATGGCAATGTTTTGGGGCCACGCAGGGTCCCTTCTTCAGGTATTGTATGGCACAGTACGACAATCTGTCATACTGTGTCTGGAGAAGGGACCCTGCGTGGCCCCGAAACATTGAGACATTCTTGTGACAAGTTGTTTGGTTGGGACACAATTCTGCGGAGCGCCTTGTTTTCTATATTGAGTAAGGCTGCACCATCCGTGGTCATTTCAGCACCCTACTTAAGGGGTAATACTGGTAAGGACTGGGGTGGGACACCTATTGGAAGTAAGCTATGTGTGTCTCCACAAATACACAGGCAGCATGGCATGGCAAGACACTCCTCTCCTCCTTGCTCCCCACTCCTCGCTTCACCAAGCATCCGTTTGTTTGAGCCACTAACAAAACTTGGGTCAGTTCCTGACTAACAGAATGCCCCCTAATGGGTTCCCCAAAACACACTGGGGGATCTCCTGTTCCCTTTTAGTGTTCTGTCAGCACTCAGCCTTTTCACCCAGCAGCAGAAAGAGAGAGAGAGCTATGAGCCTCAGTCAGCTCTCATATATACAGTAACGGGATGTGGACAGCTGAGACTAATAATGAGGTCAGGTAAGATGTGGACCTAGGAATGGAGGAAGCTCTACAAAGCCTCCTGGCTCCAGGACCTAGAAGAGTTGTTCAGTTGTTATCCAAGGGCTGCTGGCCTTTTTGTTTTTGAAAAGGATGTGTTAATATACTGCATGTATATATAAATATATGTTTGTTTTTTGTTTTACTTTTTGTTAGAACCATCTGTCACCACTTGCGGGGAAAACCTCTATTTCTCATCTGGTCCGAATTCATGGAAAGAAGTGATCAATGACTGGAAAAGTGAAGTAGAAGGATTTAAATATGGGTATGGGCCAAAAACATCTAGTGACATAATCGGACATTATACCCAGGTAACTTCAGAATTACAAAGCATCTGAGCAGTTAGCTTTAAGACGGTATGGTTAGAGTCAGTGGTCTGGAAGGAACCAGAAAGTCCTCATCTAAACCACTGCAAAGACCAGTGCTGCCTCCTCACCATAAACCTGATACAACGCTGACCTCCATAGATACATCCTGAGGGGTAGGAGATAAAACGTGGTCAGTAGACCCAAACTACAACTATAGTTACTATAACCCTTCCTCCAAACCTAACCTTTCCTCCAAACCTAACCTATCCTCCAAACCTAACCCTTCCTCCAAACCTAACCTTTCCTCCAAACCTAACCTTTCCTCCAAACCTAACCTTTCCTCCAAACCTAACCCTTCCTCCAAACCTAACCCTTCCTCCAAACCTAACCTTTCCTCCAAACCTAACCTTTCCTCCAAACCTAACCCTTCCTCCAAACCTAACCTTTCCTCCAAACCTAACCCTTCCTCCAAACCAAACCTTTCCTCCAAACCTTACCTTTCCTCCAAACCTATCCCTTCCTCCAAACTTAACCCTTCCTTCAAACCTGACCTTACCTCCTAACCTAACCTTTCCTCCAAGCCTAACCTTTCTTCCAAACCTAACCTTTCCTCCAAACCTAACCCTTCCTCCAAACCTAACCTTTCCTCCTAACCTAACCCTTCCTCCAAACCTATCCCTTCCTCCAAACCTAACCCTTCCTCCAAACCTTTACGCCAAACCGAACCCTATGAACGAAAACGTTGATTGCGCTACACATGTTAGATATCGCCGCCTGTGCTAGAGTGAGAACAATTATTCTAGGATCAATATTAATGGATATCTCCAAACTGATGCCATGTGCAGGCTTTTAAAGCATCGCCTATGGACAATTAGTGGCACTGTATTTTGTTGCAGTTTCATGGGCGCACTCATATTTTTAAGCTTGGCATGTTGGGTATCTATTTACTCGTCGCCAACTCTTCTTTTACATTTTACAAACAAAAAAAATGGGTATTTGTGTTTTTGGCCGCTAAAATGAACTGAAGCGTAATTTTGTACTGAAAGTTTCCTTTTGATAAAGAGTTGCGATGCACAAATTTGCAACTGCCGCCATTTTCCTCTACAGGTTCTGCGCTTTCCGGAAACATAAATCTACTCTATATTATACATGTATTATTTATGACATGTTCTAATGTTCTAATTATACATGTGTGCAAAATACCCCCC